GTGTGTAATACGGCTCTAAAATTGCCTTTTGGAATTATCTGTACCACCTGAATATAGTAGTACGATGAGGACAATCATTCTTTAATGCGAGCGTCATTTCTTCTAAGCACTGGTCTATGCTTAAAGTAAGACTGTCCTTATCTCACAACGTGACTACAATGTCATAGTCCTCACGTTACACTGTCAATACGAATAATCAACAGTCGCGCTGCTGGCGGCTTCTATGCACTCATGGACATGTACTTAACATGTAGCAACATGCAGCCTCCTGCGTCCGTTTGTTAAGTAATATTGCAAAACCCTTATAAGTACCCTTTGTATTGCGCTTTAGAAACATTCTCATTTGGAGACACTTTTCTAACTGCACACAGTTCCATAATTAGCTTATTTGAATGGCCATAAAGGTCAAGATGGGAACCATTATTATAACGACCCTGAGTTCTTATGAAGTGCTTGTCCTGCAATATGCTCAGAGGCAAGGCTGAAGCACTTCTGCTGACAGTTTGAGCCTTCGGAAAAAATCCCATTTAGAGGCAATTTTTAAGCGGTCGACGGTAACTCAATCGGAGTGCGAGTCGAATAGCACTGCTCCCAACATTAGCGTAAATTGAAAACAGTAATTCTCAATTAACGGTGCGATTAAAATTTGCAAGCTTCCTCTGTAATGAAATCGCTTCCAAAGGATGGAAATCATGATGAAATTATGTTGACGTTGTTCTTGACGGAGGCCCTTCAGTGAGACCGAACGTGAAAATGCTTTCATTATGTATTGTCCTTACGTTTATGTAATAAGTGGATCAGAAAGATATACTGCCTGCATATTTCATCAAAGAGAAGAAAATGAAATAGACATTCCGTCATTATACTGACATAATTTATTCCTTTGAGCTATGTTTCTCGATTTTGAATGTTTTCTGAGCCTGTTAGTTTGACACGATGCTTGTGCCTCTTATTACAACTCAGTTGTACTGGTGGTTGTATTTTATACAAATAAAGAACTAGGTGGTTCATCCGACTTTGTGTTTCTTCTTCTGTATCTCACAGCCACCAATGTTGCTTTCTAACAGGGCCTCTCTTTCCTCATATTTTTTCCATTAGAGACAATCTTAACATCTCATATTTATTACCCCTCAGTATAAACTCCAAATAACAAACTCTCCGTTTTTATGTTGACATAGAAAAAAGCACACCCAGTAATAATGAATTCATTGCAACAATTTGTTGTATACTCGTCTCTTAGGGTAAGGCGTGTGGCTGATCAAAATTACAGAAAAAACTAAAAGTTAAAAAAATAATAATTTTTTGGGCCTCCATAGTCTTATGCACTTAGAAACACATCTGGGCATACTCCCAATTAGTTGATTTCCTTGTGAGGTATCCCATCCCAGGCTACTTGTATCTCGTTCCGAAGTGCCGCTGGGGTCTGTGAACGCTAAAAGGAGTAATTCTGGCTATATGTAGTTGCATACTATCTTGTTGAAGAAGTAGGTTCGTAAGCGTCCGTATATAAAGCAAAATATATTTTTCCCTCCCCTCCTCAATGTAACGCGCGACTGTTATATTGTCTAAAGGTCACCTGCTTCTTTAAGCAGGCCCCGATTCCATAGTTCCAACAATGTGGTGCACATGGATCTCCATAGAGATTTCAGAATCTTGTTTTTCACCTCGTTGCGTGCTTACCCTTTGACGGACATCATGCATCTCCAAACAACCTCGTGGCAAGAAGCGGCCCTGTAGAGCCAAAAGCCTTAAATACGCCCTGTAAGTCTAACTATTCGTGTACGGCCTTTCCGATTTCATGCCTAACATCAAACCACTGACTGACTGTGCAACCTGGTGCCTATTTGTCTTTAGGATCAACCAGCCTCACACAAGCCCACTATTGTACACTATCAAACTCGCTAAGTTGCACAAAATTTTCTCGTCTGCTCGCTCTTGGCAATGAACAGATTAAAGCAGCTCTCCACAAGGCATTGAACGATAAACAACTGCCAAGTGAAGCTACAAAACATAGTAGTACACAGTAATGAAGAGACAGTTATGGTTTACCACAGGACACTGTGTTTGGTCCAATCTTGTTTACAATTTACATAAAAAGCATTCTTCTTCATGTGGTCAAATGTTTAGCTTTGCAGTTGTTTTTTACTTCCAAGCCTACTGGCGAAAAAGTGTTGATATCCCGTAAATTTTAGGGATATTTTGTTTTTTGGATGTAATATGGCCAGAAACTGAAACATTCACTCCCGTCGGTCTGTCTGTCTGTCGCTCTGCCCGCTAAACTTATGGCCGCCTATACTAATACTTCTCGGATCTTTACACAATGTTACTACTATGCCAAAGACGCAAAAACTTTGTATTTTTTGAAAATCTGTCCAGTGGCGGCGGAGAAAAGTCCAAAACCAAAAAAGATTGAAAACCACTCAAATTTTTTGATATTCTCAGCAGACGGCTCATGTACCTACCGGACTTGGCTGCTGGTTAAGACGTCGTGACGTATCGCCGGCCTTGGTGAGTGCTGCGCGCATAGTGTTTCCTATGCTCTGACCGCGCTACCAGGTTTGATCGGGGTAAGAAGAGAGGCGACGTTTCCGTCTCCGACGTAATGTCTATGGACTAAGTGTGTGGACCTGTTTGAGTGACTTTTTTCAGAGACAGTCTAGTTTGTGCTTAAGAAAGTCTGATAAGTTTGGTACCGTGCGTCAGCGGTCGTGGACATGCCTCTCTCGATGACATCAGAGGCAAACTCACCACACATCGTTCAGGCAAAGGCAATTCCACGAAATCAAGGATCATGAGAACGTACCTGAAGGCTCCTATTATGTCAGAAAAATCACCATGCGAAGCCTTAAGATTAGAGAAAGCTCCCTCTGGCAAAAATATTTCGATCTTGCTATTTCCGTTGTTACCATCTCTGACCTTATTTTTATTTCCTTGGGTATCGCAAATCTCAAAATTCTCATCTAAATAATAGGTGACAGCCAAGTATTTATACATTTTCAGGAGGATGCAGTGATCTTCACATTCGTATTCCAACAATGCTTCAAACAAGGCTTTCATCACCATTATTGAATCAAGAACCGTCATCAGGAGAAGTCATTAATTTTATTTGAACGAAGAAAACTGAGTGAATCAATATGATGCGCAGACAGCTGTCTTCTTTAATTAATGGTATAGTATAAGTAATGGAGTAACGTAACAGCTGGAGGGTTGTCTTATGAATTCAGTTTTAGAGGTACGAAACAGTTCTATCAATCTTATTGTATTTTCAAAAAGCACTCATCTGTCTAAGAATATGATGCTGTTTCGACCCGCATGAAGTGGACTGTTTTTGTACCACTGAATATTCCGTGGTGAATCTAGAGTTGACTAGAAAGCAATATTATCAATATTTTTGCCTAACATGCAGATTTAATGCATTTTTTAACAATCATAGCTCATTAACAAATAATAGTACAGCCTTGGAGTTATATAAGAAAATTCCACATTTACATTGGTGTAAGTATTGACTTTTTCTTATAACTTCCTCTTCAAAAAGGCTTCGCTTTACATGGAACAGTAAATCAAGAAAAGCTTAGCTTTTTTGAAAAAAAATGGCAATAAAGAATTAACTTACACTAATTTACTGTAAATGTGCAATACTTTCATACGCTTTCGGAGCTGTACTAACATTTTTTCATGGATTACGACTGTTAAAAAGATACGTAAAAAATGCAGAAAAATAAATCCAAAACAATGATACACCATCAGACAATTAGATGCAAACTGTCAAGAATATTAATTTAAGCAGACTGTTGGAAACATTTATGTGCGACCTCAAGGCATTTTCAATATACAGCTTAACAAAAAGTGATGCTTAGTAGATTGACTCCAGTCCAATTAAGAACTTCCAGGAATGAATATTTAGATGCCTCTACATATCTGTGATCATGACGAAAGTTCTCACCAACACTAAGTTTTTGTCAGCCCTCAGACCTCATTGTTGATAGTAGAGCAGACCAGTTTAGTACGTTAATAATAGCTAATAGCTAATTTGTTTTGATGATTGTATTTGATAGTACCTGGTATTCAGAAACCTTTTGTTGAAAGTAACAGACCTTTAAGAATGATCTGAAACTCTTTTGTCTTTCACGTAATAGCCAATTTATATGAAACCTAACAAAAATCAATAGACATAGTGAACTTCTCCCACATCTGAAAACAGCGGGATGCTTCTATAAAGCCTGTGCGTGAGACTCTTAATGACAAAGTTCACTGGGGATGAAAAACAATAGAAGGTGGGATATACGTACGTATCGAAGCCAACTGGGATCCGAATAAAAGTTGCTCTCGAAGACGATGATAGTGGTCTTTTGTTATCCCGCGGTGCTCTTGATGAATAAATTTGAATACGTTAGAGTAGGGAGGGTGGAGACATTTGGAGTGGATGTTCGAAAGAGTAACAGGATGAAAAGTTTGTTTTATAGTTTGGGCCACAAGTCCAGCCGAGCGCATACAAGCGGGAGGGCGCATTAGTATTATAGTATACTAAGAAATACTGTAACATCTGGAACTTGTCCTGTAGTTTTCATGCTGATAGAATTTCATGTTCCGTCAAGACATGTGGTTTTATTGGCCAGATAAGCATGGGGCATTAGTATATGTACGTTTCACCTCGTGTCACCGTTGACTCATGCTAAATTTCTATTAAAATCATTGTTAGATAAAATTGATATTGCCTTAAGTATTTTTAACATGTTGCATATTCCAGAAAAGATATTTTCAACATTCTCTGTTTCCAATGTTAAACTTTGACATGTTGTCAAAGTAGTGGGAATTTTTGAAAACTGGGAAAACACATCATTTACCTTGAACAGAATCCCTTCTGTCGCATAGCAAATCCACACAAGTGCCGATCTTTTGATAATATTTGAATCATGGATTTTGTGCAAGCCATTAGCTTTATTTTAGTATTTTTGATTATCTTACCTTTAATTCATTGGTACAGGTTCAAGTCACCTTACCTGGAAAAAAGAATACACATTTAAATAGAATAATTAACTCCTTATTTCTAAAGGGCAGTACTCAGATCTATACTTATCCAAAGCAAGTATATTTTTATATCATTTCCATTCGTCTGATAAAAGCTTTACTTTCGTCCGCTGCCTTGCCCAGGGCCGTGATGAATTAAGAATGAGGCGGCCTCGGTATTCCACAGCCACCTACAGCTAGGTATAGGTGAGTATGCTCCTTTGACTAGTAAGTTGCATTCGTTTTACACTCAATATTATATACGCTCAACTCACTTTAGTTTGCTCAGTTTATTGCACGCTCTCTTTAGCAAAACGCAATTTAAATGAAATGATATTTGTTTCTTCCACTTACCCCAGGTACCAACAGGTCTGCGTTCATAAATTGTTACAAAGTTTACTTTGTACTACAAAGTGTACTTTGTACTACTCTGTAACACTTTTAGCGTTTGCAATTGTTTCACGTACCTGTTCGTAAATACAAAATAATCCTTCTGGAACACGCTTTTCTTCCTGTGCTCGAAACTAACGAGTAAGAGTGCTATCACTTGGTATTCTCATGATTCAATGTTGATTCACCTTATTTGGTTACCAAAAAGTGCTTAAAATACGCAGAACACATTTTTCACGATAAATGGGCTACCTAGTATACATATCGTTTCTTATAATATAATAAAATGGTCACAGAAAACTTGGTTAGACATTAGTGGGCTGGCATCTAGTGTCTTCATATGACCTTATAATGACTTAATCGTGCTAAAAATAAAATTAGACAGTATTCCAGAGTAAAGGTAATCCGCCAATCTACGTTCCATTACTCTGTAAACGTTATTACCATTACCAAGTGGGGTGAGATTTGTCATCACTTGCAACGTTTAGGTTAAGTTTATGTGCAAAATCCACCGAAAACAAGCGATTGCTCAAGTAGAATGAGATACCATCACTTACAGTTGCCACCTTAACTGTTCCGATTCACTAGGTTTCTGTTGCACTACTTCGATCTAGTAATAAATTAGTTAAGGAGACACAAACTACTATATCGCCAGAACCGACGACATCGGGTGGTCACAGTAATGGTGCTGCTTTCGGCAGATACAATTACAATTTCAACGGATAGGTGCTATTCACTCTCGCAGTGGTGGATTCTGATAATATAGATATCGCAGAAACTAAAGAACTTCATGATGACTATTGGAGTCCTCGCCAAATCAATAATACAACGGAGTTGCCGTAACAGGACTTTTATTCAAATATTTCGCAACATCGGGTGAACATTTTCGTACCTATTCAGGCTAATTGATGATATTATATCACAAACGATGAGGATACATCATGATTCTTCAGTATTGGTCAGCATTACCTAATACATGCATATTGCTTTTAGAAATACAACGCAAAAACTGCGACAAAACGTGACAGATGTTCAATTTTCTCAAACAGATAACTGTCATAGCTGCAGATTTTATTCTCCTAAGAAGCAATTACAGATGTAACGTTATCTTAACTAAGTTTTTACTAAATCGGAGTGACGCAACAGAAACGTAATTAAAGCTGGACCTTAACATATGGATGACATTTGCCAAGCGGTAGATTTGATAAACGCGTTACAACTAGGCATAAATACTACTTATTTGTAATATTTTCTATAGCTGTAGGTACGCCTATGTAATTTGTCAACCAGTCTATATAACTTATACACATCCGGAAGGGGTATAAGCTCGCTCTTCGAAAAGTTGGCGCACACTCTGCAAGAAGAAATGTAGCCGTCTCCTTGAGCAAAAGCAACAAAACGAGCATTTCGGGAGATTTATTCGCGACATTATGGCTGCTGCGATGTTTGTTTCACTCCAATATGAATTCCTGATGGTATTGTTGTGGAGGTGGCAGGGATAAAACGGCTCCCACTCAAAGCTGAGGGGGATTAATTTCATGAATCCATATTGTGCCTCCCTCTGAAGAAGCTGATGATTCGAACACTCAAGAGGTTATACAGGGTTTCCCGATTGAATGTCAATATCTGAGGGGGCTATTTTGGGGTTCATTTTAAGAAGGAAACTTCATATGATCGTATATTTTAAACGTCTTAACTTATACGAGATACAGCATGGTAAAAGTTCCCAAAATGAATTTACAAAGATGTATCATCAATATCTGTGAGATCACTTTGGACCTTTTAATAAAAAAAAATTCTTATATACCAGTGGCGTTCGGACGGAATTTCACCTGCCTATTTTTGCAGACATTGATATTACGCAACTCTTAAAAATGTGCTTCAAATCCTCAATCAGGTTTAAGCAAATTTGGTCGGTTGATTTTTCATTCCGATGCACGATTTTACATACATGTATAGATAGATATTTAGCTCTTTTAAAAAAATCACAGCCCTAAGCCTAATGGTTTAGTTGTAATTGCGATTGAAAGTTCATTAATTAATTTCACAAAATTGCATATATTACCTGAACTATAAAATTTCGGACTACATATATAGGAGTTCATTCGATATGTTTTGAGGCCCTCTATCACCTGACTTCCGTTGATCCACTACTAACTTTACACCCTGTATAAAGGAATCATTCCATGTCTGCCAAAATAGCCAGGTGAAATTCCGTACAAGCACCACTGGTGGAATGAAACAAATATAGTACATTAAAATGCCTCTTGATACATAATTACATAATACATGTATGCCAAATTTCATTAAAATGTCTAAAGTGGTAGTAAAGTATTAATAATAAATTATTTATTTTTGAAAGCCCTACCATCTCTATCTCAGAAGCTAAGACGTTTCGGTGCTTGAAAGATGACACTTTTGCTATATGTCTCTACGAATCGAAGAATGATCAAACACTAGATAAAAGTACAAAGAGCCACGAACGCAGCATGTTACAAACAAAGATGTCCGCAGCACAAGTTGCGGCACATGCTATGCCACATGCTCAGCTCCGCATTCACTCAGCGCAATTTTCTATTTAACGCGTGTGCAACATGTTGCAGACCGTTTTACTTCCCACGCATACTGCCTTAGAAGTATTCTAATCGCGAAAATGAGATATTAAGTTTTTTGGACCTTATTATGACATGTACATCACGAAAAATCATTTCACTCATTTCCGTCGATTTGTCGATCTATCCAATCTGATAACCACCTATCTATAACTTGAGAGGTATTGCTCGGATTGCGATACAATTTTCATACTATACTAAGTGACATATAAATCCGAACACCCAGTTTAAATGGTTTTATTTTAATAAAATTTTGTATAAGTACTTAATGAAGCATAATAAGTAAATGATAAAAATTTCAAAATGATTGCACTGCTTTAAAGCCCTTTGACCTTTAATAATGTGTGGATGCACCCTGATGTGCTACGCATTCTCCAGCGCGCCTAGGCATGCTTCTGATCAGGTGGTCAATGTCCTCCTGTGGTATCTCATTCCAGGCAACCACCAACTCCTCTCGAAGTGCTTCTAGAGTCTGAGGAGGACGTTGCAAATTGAGCAATCTCCTACCCATCATATCCCACACGTGCTCAATTGGGGATAAGTCGGGAGATCTTGGTGGCCATGGTAACAATGTGACATCATTATGTTGAAAGAAGTCTATTGTGACTCTTGCAACATGTGGTCGGGCATTATCTTGTTGGAAAGTTGGATCTGCCAGGGTGTCAAGATAGGGTAAAAGATGGGGTTCTAGAACTTCGTGGATATAACGCTGCGCGTTCATGTTACCTCTGATGAAGATTAAAGGTGACCTGGAACCATAAGCTATAGCATCCCAAACCATAACTCCAACAGTGTGATGAACATGTCTTTCAACAAAAAACTGTGGATTTCGCCTTTCACCACGTCGCCTTCTAACCCTGGCACGACCATCGTGCATGCCTAAACAAAATCGAGACTCGTCACTAAAGACAATACTGTTCCATTCCTGATCCCAGAGTGACCGTTGTCTGCACCACTCAAGGCGATTACGTCGGTGTTCTCGAGTTAAAGGGAGGACCCATTGTGGCCGGTATGAAAACAAGCCAAAACTTCGGTAAACACTTCGCATGCCAATAGGTCTTCCGTGTTCTGCAAACCATTCATTTGCAATGGACCTGGTAGTGCCTGACAACACCTAACCACAGTGTCTACACTTCTTTGCACTCTAACTGCAATTGCCCGAAAAGAAAGTCCAGCCCCACTATACGGCCCCTATCAAACTCACTAAGTTGACGAAATCGTACAGGTCTCCGTACTCTAGGCATCGTAACCGATCGCAAAGGATGTCAAGAACCAAAATCCGCCAACGTTGATTCTTTACTGCGGCTGAAATATTAATTTTTAGAGCGTTAGTGAATTAAAAAAAAGCAGTATAAAAACCGGAATGTCCAACTGATAAGGCTGAAAATTCACTTGTTACTTACAGTAAGATAAATACATTCACCAACTTTATTAAAATAAAACCATTTAAACTGGGTGTTCGGATTTATATGTCACTTAGTATATGTAACTTCTATGATAAGGACGCAAAAGCTGTATAGTTTCTGAGGATCAGTCCAGTAATGGAGGAGAAAAAGGCCAAAAACAAAAAGAACATAGATCAAACTTCGTTTTTTGACGTCTCTGACAATACAGACCATTTTGGGAAACAAAATTTAAAGGGTTAAAAATTGAGGGTTAGGGCTTATACGCCTCCAGCTCCAGTAATTCTACGCACACATTAGGCATATTTCACTCATCATAGATGTCCTCGTACATTTAATGTTAAAATTTAGAAACATCTCCTATATTTGAGTGTCGATACGAGCGACGTGGTCCCCGGTATGGACAAGCGTCATCGTCGGTGGTCGTAAGTGATAGTCGGCAACCCCTTCCGCACTGCGTGGTACTGTAGTAGGCTGGGCTTTGTGCATTGTGCATGGCGAAGGCCAATAACATGATTCACACGGAATTGGTCATCGCAATAATCATGTGCGCCTGCAGCAATTCCTCTCGAGGAAAGTCATTTAATTTTTTGTTATACATGCTTCTT